CCTAACTCAATGCGATCTACTGACGCGTGTTAACGAAAATATGAAAAAAATGTAAAAAAACTGTCACATTTATAACAATCCACGGTAGCAGTTTGCAATTGCGAAACAACAGCAAATTTTAGTAACTACCCCACCACACATGTCACGTATACGACGTTTTGAACCACTCCTCACACTTTAAAGAAGATCTTGGGCGAAGAGCTAATAGGTACGCAATTGCAGACTGCTACCGTAGGCAATTATGAGTAACACAGAAAATGTTTATAACAACGTGGGCTAGCTCAAATTCTGCTCAATAATAAAGTTATCATGTGATGAAAAGAAAAGCATGCACCCTCGATCACGGAACGTCAATTCCCTCACATCACTAATTTATACCCCATTGATCCTGAGAAGACTTGGGAGCCGTTTTCACCCACACGAAAAAGGAGCTATGAAGGAAGACGACTGCCAATTGGGGTAGTAGCTAACCTTACACCTGACCGCAACCATGGAAAGATAACGATGAGCAAGGGACGTGTTGGTAAAAGCCTGTACTCCAAAAAATCAATGCTTACATAGTACTTAAGCTAACTTTTCATCTCATGCCGGAGGCCCACTGCAATGAAATATGCTCGGACTGACTCTGTAGCGAAGTGGTCAAAAAAGTCCGCAGGGCGAGCTGTGATTGGGCATTGCACATAATACGTAATACCGTAGTGCGTAAATTAAAAAACATATCCAACAGATAACCAATCTTTTAAAACAGAGGCAAAAAGATGTTAATGAGGAGAAGCTACTGCTCGGATTGACTCTGTAGCGGAGTGGTCAAAAAAGTCGCAAGGCGAGCTGTGATTGGGCATTGCACATAATACGTAATGCCGTAGCGCGAACTAAAAATCCCATCTAACTAATATCAAGTCTTTTACAAGAAAGGCAAAAAGACATTAATCAGAAAGGCTTATTTTCTCCTGGCTTTACTTCGATGAAAAACCTGAAAGGATAACAAATGAGAGTTCTGAAGGGCTGCGCCGCTAAGACATAAGCTAGATTTGACTGCAAAAGAACAAAAAACGCAGAAGTTGCCAATCAAGAGTTTCCAAACAACACCGTTAATAAGGACGACATTCAACAAGGAAAGCAACCAGCAGCACGACCTCATCGAGTAATAATGACAGGCTAAGCAAAGCTCTGGTAATATCCATGCCAGCATGCAACCGGTTGTAAAGTGTTATAACACGGTTGCACGGGGCCGGGATGTTTCGAAAAGGTGAAGCCTCTCCAAAGAGTTAGAAAGAGTTGGAAAAAACTTAGAAAAACCTGGAAACTGAAAATGACTTTGAGCAACGCATTTCCTAAGCTCAAAGGCCCTGTGAAAGTGTGTAGCTGTTAAAACCACGTTGAAGACGAAACCTTAGCGATGCCAGGAAGTTTGGTGAAGCCAGCAGAATGAAGCAGATGAGTTGAGTTCTGAAAAATATCCTTTACAACTAGTTATATTAATCCGCCTGTATGAAGAAAAAACAATAGTTCAAGATACTATCAGACATGAACTTGTTCT